CCCCCTCCTCTTCTGTCATCCTGAAAGTGAATCCAGGGCTTTCTCAGTGATACACATCTCCAGCTTGTCTTTTTTTTTTTTTTGAGACAGTGTTCATTAAGTTGCCCAGGTTGAGCTGCTTCACCCTCATTTCTTTTTTTTTGCTTTCCAATTCTAAGGAAGGGCCAGGGATTTAGCTGAGTGGTTCTACTGCCTGCCTTGCAAGGTCCCAAGTTCTATTCTCAGTACCAAAACAAACAAACCAATTCTAAGGAAGACAAGACCTTTAGTCTGAGCATGTAACTACCAATGAACAAAAGTGAGTGTGGTGCAAAGCTAGACACAACTCCACTGAATTCTCAGAACTGTCTTTCTTCTGTCAGAGTAATGCACCAAAGCTCCTCTTCACATTTTTCTATTTCTAGCAACTTAGAGCTGTCAGTTTCAGAATACCAGGAGGGAGTGGCCCAGGCAGTGCCAAGAGTTGCTGTGATAAACTGGAAAACTGACATACCTCAGACACCAGAAGATGGGTTTCACTGCCACTGCCTGCTGTCAGCCTAGTAAGATGTAAGCAGGACTGACTGGCTGCAGCCTAAGACTTGACCCTCTGTGGGCTCTTAGGGGACACAGTGACCAAGAAAATGGGGCCTCGGTTGTGGTCAAGATGGCCTGTCCCTGCTGAAGGTGCTCATAGGATCTCCTTTTTTCCACTCTAGGTCAACGAGTCACCTGTTGTCCCACTCAGAGTTCTGCCTGCTGTCCCTCACGATAGCCATCATGCCCCGGGGAGAGAAGAGTAAACTCCGTGCTCGAGAGAAACGGCGCCAGGCTCGAGATCAGACCCGAAGTCTGCAGGATGCTCAGGCCCCTGCAGCACAAGAAGGAAAGTCCCTTTCCTGCCCCTCTCCTGTTTCTGGAGACCCTGCTGGCGTTCCTCAAAAGTCTCCAGAAACACCACCCACCAGCACTGCTGCTGCTCCTGCTGTTTCACGCAAAAGATCAGGCAAAGGTGCCAAGAGCAGGAGGCCAGAAAGGGATACTTCCTCTAAGGCCCCACCCTCCACTGAGAGCTCACAGAGGGAGATTGTAGTGAGGAAGGCAGAAGCATTGGTGCAGTACCTGATGTCCAAATATAAAACGAAGGATCCCATTTTGAAGAGGGAAATGCTAAAGATTGTCCACAAGAGGTTCCGAGAGCAGTTCCCTGAAATCCTCAAGGTGGCCTCTAGGCACATGGAGCTGTTCTTTGGCTTGGAATTGAAGGAACTCAAGCCAGGCGGTAGTTCCTACACCCTGGCCAGTGTATTAGAGCTCAGCTGTGATAACATGAGCAGTGTCTTTCCCAAAACTGGGCTTCTCCTAGCTACCCTAGGCATCCTCTTCTTGCACGGCTACAGTGCTACTGAGGAAGATGTCTGGGAATTCCTGAGCACCTTAGGGGCCGCTGATAAGAGCAAGCGCTTCATCTTTGGAGATGTCAAGAAGCTCCTTACTGAAGATTTTGTCCAGGAAAAATACCTGGAGTACTGCCAGGTTCCTGGCAGTGATCCTCCACGCTATCAGTTCCAGTGGGGTTCCAGAGCGCATGTCGAAACCAGCAAGCTGAAAATCCTACAGTTTTTGGCCAAGATTATTTCTTCAAATATCAGTGACTTTGTACCCTATTATGAAAAGGCTTTGAGAGATGAGAAAGAGAAAACCCAAGCCAAAGTTGATGCCGATCCTGGAGGTACTGCTTAAGCCAGTCCAAGCCCAAGGGCTAAGCTAGTCTCTATACCCTTGTGGTATATGTGGCTGATTCTTCACTTTGTCATTTAAAATGCCTGTTAAGCCTTGTTTTTGTTGTGTTGTTATGCGTGACTATAATGTTTGAACAGTTTTCTTCCTGTATCACTCAAGAGCGCTTTTTTCAACATAATGTTTATTTAGATTCACAGTGTAATTCGATGAATGTTGTGGATCAAACATTCATTGCCATTTACCAGGTTTAGTGATAAGGTATTGGTTCATTTTGCAACACAAATTGTAATTCCTGAGATTATATTGATGATCCACACTAAGATGACATGCCACCAGGGCAGGAATATCTTTGGAAATAAGAAATTTCCACAGTAAAATATTTGGGCTCAGCTGTGTGCTAGTTAACTATCAACTTGTATAGGAAAGAATCACCCAGCTGATTGGATTAGCATAATTCTAGGTGGGAGTGAATGGTTTTACAGAAGACAGAATACCTACCCTGGTGTGAGTGATACCAACCAGTAGGCTTTTGTAGCCTGAATGGAATAAAACGGGAGATGAAGAAGGAAGGCCTGATTCTGTTTCAAGAGGCTTCAGTTAACTTCTTCAACTTAGAAGAACTTCATCTGCCTTCCAGCACAGACCCTTCAGTCTTCCATAGCAGACCATTCAGCCTCCTGACACATACTCACACAGGACTCTACAGTGACCTCCAGGCTTTCAAACTTTGACTTGGTCCTCCAGCATGCAGACAGTTGTTATGCATTGCTCCACACCTGACTCTGCAGGTAGCCTTCGTAAGCGTACCTTGTAAATCCTGATAAGTTTATCTATCTTATATTAATCTGTTTCTCTAGGGTGCACTGACTGGTACAAGCTGATAGGGGGAAAAAAGTAAAAGTTACTTAGTTCTTAGTTTGCTTTACTTGATTCAGTTTTTCCTTTTGGACACTTAAATGATCTATGCTTACATTTGCTTATGTTGTTCAAGAATGTATAAGAACTTAGATCATCCAAAATTTAATTGAGTATCTGCCTTCAGGATATTTTCAAGTTTTGTACTGGAGCGCATAAGACAAATGAGAGGGTGCTCCTGCCCATGCAGTGATAGTCTCTGGGAGAAGTATCACTATGGAAATGGGTGAGATTCCCTCTTATTTCATAGAGAAGTAAGAAACCATGGAAAGTAGAAATGGAAAGAAAACATGACTTAATTTTCTTTGCTAAGCAGCATTTTTGCCTCTTTTCTGATTTTATGTAGTTATTGTCCTTCAGTGCTACATGTACTGTGATACTACCTCGTTTAAAAATTTGACAAAAATATTTGAGGTACATGCATGGTAATCTTTCAGGCAAAAATCATTCTAGTAAAAATGCCAGCCTGTAATGTCTTCTTAAAAGACAAACACCCCCACAGGACTTCACTTACACATACCTTCCTCCACTACTATAACCATAGCCTATTAAATCTCTAGTATTCACTATTCTACCATTGGTTCAATTTTGTTTTTGTTACTTTCTACATTGTGAAAGAGAACAAGTGGCATTTGTGTGCCAGGCTTATTTCACTTTACCTAATGTCTTCCAGGTTCAACTGTGTTGTCACTAATGACAATATAGCCTCTTCTTTATGGCTGAATAATATTCCAGCATGCATATATACCACATGTTTTTTTATCTACTCCTCAGTTGAAAGGCACTTAGGTTGATTCTCTCTTAAATACAGGGAAGTTATTTTTAAATGCTCTCCCGTAGCATGACTAAATCCTGTAACTTGTGAACAGCACTTAATTGCTCAAGTGAGTCACTCTAAGGCACTTCTGTGTGATATAATATTTGTGCGATTAATCTTCTGTTCTTACCCCTACTAATCAGGTGGATTGTGACCTTTGGACCAAGAATAAGTTTCACCTTTTCTATTGTTGAGATACCATTGTTTGTCCTTCAGAAAGCTAGTTGGACTACCTAAGGATAGTGAGTGGAACTTCTGTGAGTTATAAAGATTCATTATAGAAATTTTTTTGTACCTGTTTGTTCATTAATGTAGGTTTTATTCAAACTTTTATAACTAGTTCCATTTTAACACAATAAAAATTTAAAGATTCTGGTTGAAAGAGTGTTGCCTTTGACTATGGAAAATTATATTTACCAAAAGAAAGTCAGAATTACTGACTAGCCAAATTGTCATATTTCAATTAGCATCATTGTATCTTCAAATCAAAAGATGAAGTAGGATAAAATATAAAAGCATCTTTTCTGATGACTACAAGAGTCAAAGAGCAGTCAGAATTAATGTACAGAGGAAAATAAGGTTAATTTAAAAGTTACAGAGCAAAATATCAATTTCTCATTTTTGCAATAGCACTGATACTAAATCTGAAAAAATATTTTGTTTCTTGTTTTCAAAGAATTTCTTGATATATACTTCATATACCATACAATTCATCAAGTTTATTGCACAATTCAGTAGTTTCGGTATGTTGAATTTTTTAATATGGTAAAATATGTAAGTGCACAATTTAGGTGGTGCATTGTTTATATGTACAAACTTGTATATCCGTTATCATTAACCCTTTGAAAAAAGGTGCATACACACAGGTTTTATTCCCAATATTTTCAGTATTTCATTCCACAATTTATTGCTTTCCTGGATTAGGAATAATTTTCATCTTTTCTCCTCTACATGGAACGTGTCATTTACCTCTGGCTACTTTCAGCACTTTATATTTGGTTTTTATAGTTAAATGTGGTTTACCTGGGATGTGGGTTCTTTTTACAATATTAATCCTATTTGGGGTTCTCTGAGCTTCCTAGATCTCTAGTTTGGTATTTGAAATGAATTTCAGAGAAATTCTCAGTATTTTTTTTTTTTTTTGGTTTTTTGAGACAGGGTCTCACTAGGTAGTTAAGACTGACCTGGAACTCACTATGTAGCCCAGGCTGGTCTCGAACTCATAGCGACCCTCCTGCCTCAGCCTCCCAAGTGCTGGGATTATAGGCGTGCACCACGACACCCGGCTAGTAATTATTTTTTAAAGTATTTTTTCTGTCTCTTTTTCTCTTCTTTTGATCTAGCTCATTGTGTATTATTTCTTTAGTTCTACAACTTCTGTGTGTGTTTGTTTAGACATTTGTTTACCTTTGTTGCTTAATTTTGTATGTTTCTATTGAGATAGCATTCGTTTTAGAGATTCTTTTCCTCAGCCATGTGAATCTGTAATAACCCAATCAAAGACATATTTCCTTTCTATTTGTGTTTTGGACCTCTAATATTTCTCTTTGGGTATTTCTTAAAATTTTCATGTCTCTGCTTATATTTTTATTCTTACAGACTACTTTATCATTAGACCACAGCATTTAAATAATATTTGTTTTACATATCAAGTCTGATAATTCTAAAACCATATATATGAGTCTAGGTACGGTGCTTGCACTATCTCTTCAAACTATGTTTTATGACTTTAGTATGTTTTTTAAGATTTTCTTATATCCAACCACGATATTCTAGGTCAAAGGAACTGCCATAATCAAACTTTTGAGTATGTGGTGGTGTGATGTGCGGAAGGGGAACTGTTCTTTGGTTCTACGATTAGATCTCATTCTTGTAGTGAGCTTATGCCTCTGGACTGTGAATCACATAGGATTGTATCCCAGTTGACTCCCTACACATTAGCTGGAATAGGGGTAGCCACAGTGCATTATAGTTGTGTATTTCCCTGTCCGTGTGAAAAGCTAGAGCTGACAGAAATTAGATATTTTTTCTTCCTCCAAATCATTTAGGTTCTGATAAAACCACTGAAGGTTAAGGTCTGGTTAGTATCTCTCTAAATCAGACATTGTTAAAAAAAGTATTCTGGGCATATTTCAAAATAGTGCCTTATTTCCTCTCCTTGCTTTCATCATGAAGAGACAATCCACTGTGAGAACCTAGTGGACCATCTATGGATAAAACTAAAAAATGTGTAAAATCCTACCTGAAGACTGAGCCCCTTACAATTTAGAAATTATGTGAGATTTTAACTCTTGAATTTTGCATCCAGAAAGTTTCAATTCTTTTTATACTTCTGTTGGCCTCTTCAATGTTGAGGGTACCAATTTGTTCTGGGATCCCACCCCTCTAACAGGACTGTTTCTTCAGCTTTTAATTTAAGACCAAGTGGCAACTTGCAAGTATCTCACTTAATGGGTCTCTTATTTTTCTATTTATTTTAAAAAAAGATAATTTTTGCTCTTGAGCAAAAATGTCATCAGATCTTATATAATAAAAATTTTTATACAAAACAGGATTCCAACAAATGAAATAATTTCTAAAAGTGCTTTCATTAAATATCTTAAATTCTGTCTCACAAATTTAAATCAAAATCAGTTGAATAGATATTTAGTAGCCAAAAAATTTAATCTGAAATTCTTTCTCTGCATTCTGTAACTAGGCTATCCTAGACAGTATCTTTCTTTGTTCTGACCACCAAGGTTATCTTCTGTAAAATGAAGTGACAGGATAAAATGATTTCTGAGATTTCTTTAAGTTCTTCCATCTCTAAAGCTATCTGAACAAATATTTGTTATTTGTGGAACAGTGCTAGAATTTGGGAAAAGATTGTGTTCTTGAGAAATAATTTTTTAGATGATAAACACAAGTTAAATGCTGCCTGTAAGACTCAGAGTTCAAGGAATAGTGAGGTTATTACCCAATTTTGTAATTATGGATAATCTCTGAAGGCTGTAATTTTGGGGGACATATCATTGACAGGCTCATAGTAGGCATGGAGTAATTGAATGACTTTTGGCTGAAATAGAATAGAAAAGACTAAGCCGTGTGTTGCAACCAGTGATAGTTGTAAAGGAACAGTTAGAGATGGACTTAGAAGGAGTTGGACCACAGTGGAAATAGAAGGTCAAGTTTAGAAACTTAAAAATTGTAGCCGTTGGATAAGGGGAAGTTAATACTAAGGGGAATAAAGTTTAGCACTGCTACACAAATTGCTATTCAGCAATTAACTCTGCAGAGGTAAAATTTGAAGTAGAATAAAAAGTAATTTCAAAAGATGAAGAAGGGCATTTCAACCCAAGGAAATGCTGTGTATAAATGCACAGAATGGTGAAAATGCACTAACTACCAGGGAAATGGAAAGCAGTCCATTATGGCAAGATAACAGAGAGCACCACACACATAGTGAAGTAAAAAAGTGGCAACAAAGAAGGATTCAACTTAGGGGGCCTCAGAACAGCATGCCACGGTATTTGGATGTTGTTTTGCACAAAGGAAGCTTTCAGGATTCTCAAAGAAAAGAGTGACATGATCTAAACTGCTCTTTAGGAAATTCAAAATTCTTACAAGTGAAAAGAAAAAAATAGCCAGGCATAGCAGCATGCACCTGTAGTCTCTGCCACTCAGGAGGTTGGAACAGGAGGATCACTTGAGCCCAGGAGTTCAAGACCAGCTTGGCAACACAGCAAGTCCCAGACTCTATATAAATAAGTAAATAAATAACCACAGCAACTCTAACTGCAGCTTCAAACACAGCAATAAAAAGTGAAGACTACATTCCAGTTGCCTGGGTGGGAAATGAGGGACTGGAGATAGGAAGATGACAGTGATAGCCAAGTAAAAACAAAGGCAGAAACATCAAGATTTAATGTGCAAACAAAGATGATACCAAAGAAAAACAATAGTCATGATAACAAAAGAACAATACAAGTTGTAGTAGACATTGCTTCTTATGTGATAATTGTATGCCAGAAACTGCTTGCATCATTACATATATTACTTCCTTTAATCTTTAAAGATCTTGACAGAGGTCATTCTCATTTATCCTCATGAGAAAATAAAAATGGGGAAGTTAAGAAATTGCTTATAGTTGCATAGTTACTACTAAAAAATTCTCAAATAACTTGATAGTTCTTGGTCATTCTTATTTCCTCAAAAGTTCAGTGATATGTATGTCATTTC